ACAACTGACTGCTGCTTACTACTATCTTTTTTTTGGCTCTATTATACAATGTGCAGGGATCTTAGTTCCCAGGGTTGAAACCCAACTCCAGCAGCAAGAGGGCCGAGTCCTAACCACTTGACCACCAGGGAACTCCCCTAACTACGGTCTAAACATCATAAGTTATTGAGGCCAAAACACAGTAGAATAACATCTTTACGATGTCAAAATGAAAAATCTCTCAACCCAGAATTCTACACCCAGGGAATATATCTTTCAAAAATGAAAATTATATAGACTATTTTTAGAAAAATGAAAACAAGAATTTATCATCAGCAGACCCGCACTAAAGAATTACTAAAGGAAGATCTTCAGGATGAGGTAAATGATGCCAGACGGAAACTTAAGACTTCAGGAGAGGATGACAAACACTGGAAAACTACTTCTGCATTTCTTTCTTTCTTTCATAAAATTTTTAATTTGAAATATGGTCTAAGCAACATGAATGTAATACATCTTCATTTCTTCAAAATACTTATGATTATATAAAACAAAACTGTTAACATTATATTGTGGACTTTATAACAATATGTATAATTAATTGTGACAGAGGAAATGCAGGTTGAGTGTGGTTAGTAAAATGGAGTTGCCTGGAAGGGCCAGGGCATGGTGGGCACTGTGACATTCTAGACCACTTGCAAATTAAACTGAATGAGCTAATATATATAAAATTACATGACAACGTGCTTGAGTCATATATTTTAAAAAATGTCAAAAGTACTTGCCAATTAAGATCAATCTGAAATGAAATATGGTATGCCTGAAATTGATAATATAAATCAGTGACAAAATATATAACTTACACAAATTTAATTCACACAATATCATGGTTCTATTGCATAATAGGATATTTACAATTACAGTGTTATTACACCTACACAACATAATATACCATTAACATTTTCCAGGAGACAAGAAGTGGGTGAAAAGACTAAATGAGCAGTTAAATTAAGATTCAGTGAATATTGACACTGCTCAGATGCTAATTATCTTTTTTTGTGTGGAAAAAAAAATCCAACTTTTCATCCATAATGAATTATGTGTTTTCTCAAAGACTGTGTGTATGTGCTCAGTTGGTCAGTCATGCCTGACAGTCATGTCAGTCTTCGCGACCCCATGGATTATAGCCCACCCGGCTCCTCTCTTCATGGGATCCTCTGGGCAAGAATACTGGAGCAGATTGCCATTTCCTCCTCCAGGGAATCTTTCCAACCCAGGGATCAAACCTGTGTCTCTTGTGTCTCCTGTATCGGGAGGCAGGTTCTTTACCACTAGCACCACCTGGGAAGGCTTGAGAATAAGTTACTATAAACACAGAGTTCTGTAATAACTAGCAGTTTTATTATTTTTTTAAAATATTTATTTATTTGACTGAGTCAGAGGTCTTAATAGGGGTAAGCAAAATCTGTAGTTGTGAAATGTGAGATCTAGTTCCCTCATCAGGGATTGAACCCAGGGTCCCCCGCACTGGGAGCGTGGAGTCTTAGCCACTGGACCACCAAAGGAAGTCTCCTAACCCAGTTCTTTTTCTAACTTACTCTGTGCCTGCTTTGATTGCCTACCAACGGCACCCCACTCCAGTACTCTTGCCTGGGAAATCCCATGGACAGAGGAGCCTGGTAGGCTGCAGTCCATGGGGTCGCGAAGAGTCGGACACTTCGCCAGCTCAGATCCTATATGGAGGAAAATACCACGACAGTTTTGAAACAGTCTCTGATCCTTCTGGCAATATAAAGGTATAGTACTCAGAGTACACGGTATAGAGAAATCTGACAGCATTTTCAATAATAAACAAACTGTCGACTAAAAAATTAGTTTACAACCTGAAAACAGAGAGTGTTTTATTCGGTGGGAAAATCTTAGGACTTCAAGTCTGGGAGGCGGGATCTCAGGTAGATCTGAGGGACTGCTCCAAGGAGGAGGGAGTCAGACTACATACAAGTTTGTAACAAAGGGGACAGGTGGTTTGAACATCAAAGATTATTGTTAAGTAGGAAAACCAGATAGCAAGGTAAGCAATTTAGCATTCTTCTCTGTATGGGAAGAAGCAAGAGTCTGGGATTTTTGAAGTCATTCCTTTCATATGCATCTCAACTATCTGGGCCAGCATCTGTTATCTGTTTTTTGACTTCTCACTGCCCCCTCTCCCCATCCCACCCAGCTCCTTGGCAATCACCATAGGGGGCATGGAGGCATGTGCTGGATTGTTTTCCCCCTTGGGAGACTTCATTCACATTTGGAGGCCCGAAATCACTGATGGCTGTTACATCCTTGTTTACTGATATTCCATTTCACAAAACTTAAAAAAAAAAATTCTTCCCTATTGAAAAACTAACAAAAAGACCTGGGAAAGAGACTTTCAGAACAATGTCTACAACTTCTTGTCTAGATAAATCATAATATACACAAATAGCTTCCAAAATGACTTTTATTACTATATAAAAACAAGAAAAAAATAGATGCATATTTTTTCTACAAAATTATAAAATATTCAGGCTATTTAACATTTTTGCATAAATGTATTGAGATTAAAAATGTAGATTTAAACAGAGGAATCTTTTCCACTTAAAGTTTTCAGGTACTTTGTAGGGGATAAAGAAGTTTTCATTCTTTTATACTTTCCTATGTGTAGCTCTAAGACATAGCAGTTACAGTTTTCTGTCAGAGTTATCTAAAAAAGGGCATACAAAGATAAAAATTCCATCACGCTGCAATAAAATTAGCAAAAAGCTTTACTTCAGGCTTTCAGATTTGGCAGTTGCGGTCAATCAGTTTTGCACTGGAATTTCCAACTCAGCAGGGAAAGAGCCTAATTAAAAGCAAGACATCCTCTTTATTTTGTCCTTTAGAAAACAAAAATCACTTGTCAGTATCCCTTAAAAAGTGCAGTTACCTCCTTTGTCATTTTATCATAAGGTCTGAGCTACTGTTTCTAACCCGCACAGCTTAAATGAAACCAGGAGAGGAAAGGGAGGGAGGGACTTTGAGGGTGGATTCAGTTTGACATAATGAGCACAGGAAGCTGTACACTTTTGATAACATTAATTCAAAAAGTATAATCGTCTGAGTTTCTCAATAAACCCTTCGAGACAAAAGCCTTTAGTGTTGATTTAGATGCGTGTTAAAATAAAGCTTTTTTTCCTGAAATTAGATTATGGGGTAAGGCAAGCCAGACCATCTCTGTAGATGATATAAGCTATAATTATTTGGTAAGATTTCAATCACTGTTTTGGAATTGATACCTAAGGCTTTCTTCTCCCATGTTCTTTTTGTGGACTTTTTAATGAGATATTTTGGGGAGAGATGCTTTAGGTAGGAAATACCAGCTTTTGAAAGATAAAGGTATAATTATCATTAGAATAAAAGGTCCATTAAAAGAAGAATCTCAAACAGAAAGGTTTTCTAGATATATTTTACTATGCATTGTTTTTACAAAGGTTGAAAAAGAAAGAAAAGAAGTTCCTATAATATCTGTAAGATGAACCTCACATTAGCCCACAAGAGGGATAAAATAAAGGGCTGAGGTGAGGAGTGCTCCAATGCTTCTCAAGGGAGCAGCACGGTCTAGTACCATAATTAGCTTTTCATTTTCTCTTTCCTGGCCTGTATGAAGTGGAATGGCAGCTTCAATCCTTGGGGTGGTCATTAACCCCTTGCCCCCCAAAATACCTGGAATTTTGTGCACCTCTATGTAATGAAACATCCATTTACCAAAATATGTTTCTGTGTGACAATTCAATTCCTCCTTCCACTTAGGACCCAAATTGTAGCAGGCTCTACTTCTGTTGAATTTATGTGCATATCGCATACATATACGCCAGGCACTGCGCTGGGCACTGGGGATCCCTATGACTATTGCCAAAATTTTGGAAACAGAATGAAGAAGACAACAGTGTTTTGGCAAGCAACTCAAATGATAATCATCAAACTTCAGGGATGTGATGGAGAGTAGCTCGTACTCATTCTATGGGCATAATTACCAGTTACCCTAAAAGGAAATTTGCTAAACACCAAAAACATTAAGTTTATTTGGTAGAAACAGTTTAAAATTGCAGGGAAACCAAAAATCAACCCTCAGGTAAAATGCATTGTTTTAGCATAGGCACCACTCTAGGTTTTAAGTCAGCTCAGAGCCTAGACAGAGATCTCATGCATGAAAATTGTCATCTCTGAGTCTTAATTCACTACTGAGAACCCAAAACACAAGATACCCCCTGCTAGAATTCCATCCAAATCAGGAAGGACTCTAGCTTTTGCCCCTGGGGAAGGGCAGACCATGAAGTTCATCTCTCTCCATGAAGTTCATCTCTTCTACCTCCAAACCCAAAGCTATTTAGCAGCTAAGATTCTGAAGAACCAAAATTATAAGTGGTGAACTTTGAAAGCTATAGATGTTCTTGCCTAAACCTCTCTTTATTACCAAGACACAATTTTGACATCAGAGGGGGCATCAAGGTAAGCCACGGCTTGTTGGCAGTGGCAGAGTGCCCATGGTGAATCTCCAGGTAAGGGTAGGCCCTCTTCCTTGGGCTTGCCTGGTAGCTAAAGGTTAAAGCGTCTGCCTCCAATGCGGGAGACCCGGGTTCAATCCCTGGGTTGGGAAGATTCCCTGGAAGAGGAAATCGTAACCTACTCCAGTATTCTTGCCTGGAGAATCCCATGGACGGAGGAACCTGGTAGGCTACAGTCCACAGGGTCGCAAAGAGTCGGACATGACTGAGCGACTTCACTTTCACTTCACTCTTCCTTGTTTATTTGAGGAATCTGCCTTGTAAACAGAGCAGAAGGTAGATTTTGAAAACTCTACTGCATCCCACCAAATGAGGTTTATCCAAGGGGGGGTCAAAACAGGTGTAAATTAGCATGGGCTTCCCTAGGCTCAGACAGTAAGAATCCACCTGCAATGCAGAAGATCTGGGTTTACTCCCTGGGCTGGGAAGATCCCCTGGAGAAAGAAATGGCAACCCATTCCAGGATTCTTATCTGGAGGAACCCATGCGCAGAGAAGCCAGGCAGGCTACAGTCTATAGGGTCGCAGAGACACGACTCAGCGACTTAGCATGCACCCATGAAGACAACAACATAGTGAATCATGGACTGACCTGAGCTGCCAAAATGCCAGTTTTGGAGCCTCAGTTTCACTACTCATTAGCTGTGTGACCTTCAGGCAGGTTACTAACCTCTCTCAGATCTCTCATCTGTAAAATGGAGATTTTAATGGTGCCTACTGCAAAAGTGATATCTGAGGATTGAATGAGCTAAGATTTATAAAGTGCTTAGGATAGTACTGGCACTTAGTGAGTTCCATGTTTAAAAACGCCAGAAACTTGGGGGAAAGTGTTCTTTGAGGTTTGTAGAGCAGTTTATACTGCCTATGTATTCAGGTATATTCTCATCATAATTAGGTTTGGAATCTGGATCATAAAGTACACCAAACCCAAGGAAGCCTTGGGATTAAGTCAATTTGGAAAAACTTCTAAGTCCTACCAGAGGAGACCTTCAGCTACCTACAGTCCTGTCACTGCTCCAAAGTGCTCTAAAATAAACCCTGGTCTCCAGGGCCAATCTAAGGGCAAACCAGCTGGGGAGGGAGCAAAGGGCAGATACAGGGAAAAGGAAGCCAGTTCCTTTCCTACATTTTTTTCTGGGCTCTAGTCATGATACCGGTGTAGCATTAACTCTGTCCCAGATATTCATGATCTGATTCTAAAACTTTATAACTGGATTCCCAGAATAAACAGAAAATGACTACATGATTAGAGGCCAGGGAAGCTGCCAGTTTATCAGATTTACCCACTGTAGACACATTTTGATTATTTGTTCTATGCAAGGCACTGTGCTAAATGCTTTGGTCCTCAATGAGAAAGAGGTAATATAAGCACAATTTATATCTACTGTTATTAATATTTACATTGATCATCTCCCTTTCAATTTGGGTAAGTTCATAAGCCTCAATCAATATAAACACTTTGAAGACATCATATTTTCTGATTAGAATAAATATTGACTCTGTGGATATCAATCATCTCATGGGTAAACAGGAGAAGCTAAACTGGAGAGCTAGTTTTTTAAACTGGAGTTATATAGCTACATTGCTACCCCATTTTACATGGTGGATCTCTGTCCAGCCTCATCAAGGGTGATGTTTCTTTTCCTTGCTGCTGCTTCATTGTTTAACTCCGAATCTGATTTGTCCATGTTGCCAAAGTTCATGGCCACGGAAGTTTCCACTCCCTCTGGAGCACCTCCGTTTGGCTGAAGAAGGACAGAATTTGGTTCCTTAGGACGTTTCCATTGTGGTCTGGTGACTATCCAAAAAATGAGAGCCCCAAACACCAGAATCAGAAGGCCAAGGGTGTTTGTGAAAACACCTTCTGGTGGCAATGAACTGTATGCAGGACTTTTCCTATAGAAAAAGAGAGAGTATGTCCAGTTACAAACAGGGTGATACAGCAACATGCCAAACAGTCCTGAATTTATTTGCTCAAAAGGCACATTGGTAGAGTGTGTGTAAATTCAACATAAATTCCCTTAAAGCTTGATATTAAGAAATTCATGTAATTCATTCAGTGGATTAGTATGAAACTGTTAAAAATTTCATAAAGTATGAAAATAATATAGGATCTAAAACACCTGTACCACTTAAAATCGAAAAAAAGGATGATACAAAAATGTAGGTATATCATAATTACAGTTAATATAAAAACATGTATATTAAAACAATTCAAAGAGCATGCAGAACTTCAAAGGTAGTTTTGTAAGAGTGGTACAATTTATTGGACTGTTTGGTTTTTCTTTCAAGCATTATTAATGCTATACTACATGTATAACACATTTTAAAAAGTTAATATTTAAATTTTTTATTTTCCCCATTTAAAAAATGTTGTCACATTTATATTTGTCCAATGAACAAGTATTTAATATTTTGTAGCTGAAGAATTGCAGTTAAGAAAACTATGAAACTTACAATGCAAAAATCAGCTTCTCAGTCAATCCCATAAGTACAGTTGCAATCACTGTTCCAAAGATGAAAAGTCCGGAATAAACGTGTATGGGCATGAGAAGTGCTCGGAGAGAGAGTGGAGCCCAAGGAAGCAGAAAGACAAGAAAACCTAGGAGAAGCTGAACATCAAAAAATTCAGAGGTTATCAATTAATTGTAAGTTTTAACTGTTTTAAAATTATTGTTAGAGAAGCAATATGTGCACAATGAGAAAACATTTCATTTAGAACCAAGGTCATAAAATGAAAAGTTTCCCCATTCTAGTTCCACTCAAAAGGGACACCTACTATCACTTCCTCAAGCATTTTTTTCACAAAACTTCTATGACTAAAGAAGCATATATGTGTGTGTTTAAAGAGAAAGTGAGTCAGACGTAGGAAACAAACCTATGGTTCAGTTCAGTCCAGTTCAGTCGCTCAGTCGTGTCCGACTCTTTGCGACCCCATGAATCGCAGCACGCCAGGCCTCCCTGTCCATCACCAGCTCCTGGATTTTACTCAAACTCATGTCCATCGAGTCGGTGATACCATCCAGCCATCTCATCCTCGGTCGTCCCCTTATCCTCCTGCCCCCAATCCCTCCCACCATCAGGGTCTTTTCCAATGAGTCAACTCTTCGCATGAGGTGGCCAAAGTACTGGAGTTTCAGCTTGAGCTTCAGTCCTTCCAATGAACACCCAGGACTGATATCCTTTAGGATGGACTGGCTGGATCTCCTTGCAGTACAAGGGACTCTCAAGAGTCTTCTCCAACACCACAGTTCAAAGCATCAATTTTTTGGCACTCAGCTTTCTTCACATTCCAACTCACATCCATACATGACCACTGGAAAAACCATAGCCTTGACTAGACGGACCTTTGTTGGCAAAGTAATGTCTCTGCTTTTTAATATGCTATCTAGGTTGGTCATAACTTTCCTTCCAAGGAGTAAGCACCTCTTAATTTCATGGCTGCAATCACCATCTGCAGTGATAGTACCCAAAAAAATTAATCTGGAGCCTAAAAAAATAGTCAGCCACTGTTTTCCCATCTATTTCCCATGAAGTGATGGGACCAGAAGATGGCCATGATCTTAGTTTTCTGAATGTTGAGCTTTAAGCCAACTTTTTCACTCTCCTCCTTCACTTTCTAGGAGTTTTTTAGTTCCTCTTCACTTTCTGCCATAAGGGTGGTGTCATCTGCATATCTGAGGTTATTGATATTTCTCCCAGCAATCTTGATTCCAGCTTGTGCTTCTTCCAGCCCAG